AGCAGGAGCAAGAATCAACTGTTCTATCCTTTGTCTACCGTTAGCTGTCCTGCTAACCCAGTTACATATATCATGAATCTAAAATGTACTGGATGCTCTGTAATACTATTATTTTAGGCCAGTCTATTACAGCTAAAGAAGACTGGAATGATGAGAAGGGAAGTGAAAAGTTCTGTAACAGAACACAGAACCTGCAGACTGACACCATGAAATATGTACTATTTATACATATTTAAAACCACTTCTGATCTTTTGGAGTTAGTGGCCTCAGTCTGGTTCATATTGGGCAGGCATCCACATTAGAAACCCCCCCACTGTGATACAGTTATACAAGGGAATGAATGAGCATGAAGAATTAATTACCCTTCCAATTCTAGAGGTAATCCAAACAGATCAGGATCAGGAAAACTCACTTTGCTGCAACTAGTACTATAATGTATGTAGCTCAATAGAGCATTTCACTCTGCAGACCTGTCACTCTAAGTACTTTGACAGACACTAAAGCCACATACAGCCATACCCTTCCACCAGTGTGCACATGCACATACACACATTTAGAGATATACAAAGAAAAATATCCATTAAAGGATGACAGACCTAATCATCATTTTTCGTATATGTGCACTTTTACAACTAAGTTGCCTCATATGAAAGTACAGCACTAGGCACAATTTATTATTAAGGAATACCATTTCATTTTTTAATCCACTCTCATTTTGGAGTCAGCTAATCTCATTTCATAACTGCAGCTGATGCTCAAGATAATGTAGTATTAAAATGAAGTAAGATCATCATAAGAGTACAAAGTACAGGCCTAAAATAATGAATCAATCTAACCTGGATTAATAGACCAAAATGTTGGCTGTTTCAGAACGCATTGGAGCTTTACTCATTAAGGTCAATGGTTCTCCTACATAAAATTACATCAGTCCCTAAAATAGGGTATGGTAAATAGACAATTTAATCACATCACATAATCATTTTTTTTATTTGAAAGAAGATTTTATGTATCTAAAGCTTTCCTAAGTGACATCTGACTTTACTTTGAAGAAAAAGGTTAAAAGTAAAGGGTAAAACATACTTTCTTTATGAAAAACATAGAATCCATGTTTTAAATTAGCAAGTTCATTCCCATACCAAAAGGTAAGAATATTTTTTGCACAGGAATATTCTTTCAAAAGAATTTTAAAATGACAAACAACATTAAAAAGCCTTTAAGACAACAATTCCTTCAGAAAAAAATTATAATTTGATTTTCCTGTTAATATAATTTACTAATAAGTTTGCATTTTGGTAATATGTTCCCTCCATGACTCTCAAAATGTTTACAAATATGAGAGCTTTTTTGCAGCTTGAAATGTTCATTCAACATAATTTGACTTTGGGCTACTATAGAATATATGTCAGACTGAAACTGGCCCTTTCATTTTCAAGCAATTCATATTGTAAATGATACCTATGAGACCTTAAGCCAATGTAAATTAGTAGCATTAAAATCTGATCTGACCCCAAGAAGAATCATCAATCCAGTTAAGTTGATTTGCATTTCCTGAGAATAAGGACTGGTAAGTGTTCCAAAACCTCATATAGATTTCATAGACATTAGGGCTGGAAGGGACCTCGGGAGAGCATCAAGTCCAGCCCCCTGCCCCAGGGGCAGGAAGTCAGCTAGGGTCAAAAGAATATAATGTTTGTGACCCCTCAAAAGAATTAAACTTGGAAGTACAAAACCAAAGTCTAAAACTCCCTAAATTTGGAGGGCTGGGGTGCGTTAATGTGGGAAGGAATGGATTCCAAAATAGTTTTTGCTACAAGGGTGATACTGCCATTGTGGATGCAAATGCAGCCACCTGTCTGCATTGGGGGGGGGGGGGGGGGGGGGGGGGGGGAGGAGGGGACATTGGAGGGTCAAAATATTCTTTATGATTCTTTTCAGTTCCAATTTTCTCATTTCTTTTTACTTTTCATTAGTCTAAATTTACTCAAATTTGAAAATGAAAAGTCATTTCAACCTGTAAAACAAAAATGTCAAAAAGGGACAGCTAGACAATTGCAAAACTTATTTCTTTTCAAGTCAAGAGAGTTTGGTTCCAATAAATTGTTTTTCCTTCTTTTCTTTTCTTTTCTTTTCTTTTCTGGCAAAAAATAGTTTATCAAAAATTTCCTACCAGCTCAGCAGCGTTTAAGTCATTGTGATCTCTGGCCACAAGGGGGAGCAGCTAAATAACACGACATAGAGGGCTGATTAGAAGACAAGACTGTGAACATGAGAGTTATGATGAGAGATTACTGTATTCTATTAACCAAGCTCTGACATGGACTCCTTCCGAGGTCTTGGTTAATTCATGTTCTACTCTATTTGCAAAATTGTGGGCACCTAATTTGTGCCCCAAACCAATTAAATACATGGCTATGCACTCTGATATGCAAACGCTGATTTGAATGTGCACGCACCGCAACAAATGAGGTGTACAAATGTGAATTTATCTTTCATATTCCTTTCCATGTTTTATCTTTTGAAAGCCAAGATGTTATTCTTCCAATATAATTTTCTCCCTTCATTTTACAGAACTATTACTTCACAGGGGTAGGATGTGCAAGTACATAAAAGTAAAATAAAAACTTCTAACAAAGTAGGTACAAGTAGCTATCATACCTTCAGGTTATTTGGAAAATTAGCCCTTGACAATCTTTTTATATGGTATAGATTAGTGGTGCCCAGCTAGTGGTGCAAAGTCATTCCTTGGGCCAAATCTACAGCACAGGGCCAGTCTACAGGCCAGATCCAGGGCTGTACCACCTGATCAATGGGGTCTGGAATCTGGTGGTGCCACCATTAATTGCTGCGGTTCCTAGACACACAAGAGCTGCTAATCCTCCTGCCCCAAATTTCCAGTCCCATGGGCCCAATGACATAACTCTGTGCTCTGGATCTGGCCTGTGAGATTCCTCACAGATCCAGAATGTTGAGTGCGGTGAGTGGCAGCAGGAGCATTAATTGCCACATTCCAGGAGCTGCAACAATTAATGCATCCACCACTCACCATACCACCACATTTCCAGAACCATGGGGGAGACCCGCAGGCCAGATGACATGGCTCCGTTTGCCAGATCCAGACAGCAGGTCTGGGTCACCCCTGGTATAAATGGACACTAAGATTAAATAGCTGCATTCTACCTTACTTACAGTAGGACAGTGATGACACAAACACACATGCTTGATATTTCCCTATAAAAAAGTAGCCAGTTAAGGCTTGGTGCCCCAAAGAATTACCTCACTTATCCTCCACAAACTCCCCCATTTATCCTTTATGGACCAACACTGAGCTTATTGGTGTGATTATGATAGTCACTATTCAGTTACATATTAAGAGGGTGGAAAGGAAAACAGAACTTTTTTGGCAAGACAGTATAGGATGGAAGTGGACAGCTCTAACTAATAACTAAGCATCACAACAACACATTTGAGCAGGAAAAAGTATTAAGAGGAGACAGAATATGTACACATAACCTAACTGAAGTCAGTTTTTATACCGATGTAAATTAGAGTGAAGTCAAGAAAGGACATATGTGCAACTTCCTTGGGATAGATAACATGGTAGATGGTTATTGTAGCACTACACTGAAAAGCAGTAAGGGGACAAGTAATGGCCTGTTTGCCTTTAGCAAACAACTATCCCGAAAGGACAACAGACCAAGGAAAGTGTAACTTGCATCATAGTATTTTATCCTCCATTTTTTGGGAGTAATTATCTTTTGGATTGGGGGAAGTCTCCCCTAGTTTGTATTACCTGTGCACTCATTTTTTACACCAGTGTAATGCTGATTCCACCAATATAAACATTATTATGTCTGTCCATGTCTTGAGAAGTACATGAAGTCACATGGCAAGATAGTGACTTTCCTCAAATCACTAGACCATGTAAATTGTAAACTTATTCTTTATAATTAATGATGATTATGTTTTCAAAGAATCCACTGATTCCTACAGGTGGTTACATACTTAGGGTTTATACCACCTACATTTGCAATTCTTATACATATCTCCTACAGGAATCTAAGCACCTGGTTTTTACTTTATTTTATCTAGTTCTCTTTCACTCTGGTTGGAAATATACAAGTATATCCAAAAGGTACAAGTTTTTTAGCTATCAGTAAGTATTAATTTTGATTAGAGTTAAATTGACCTTCTGATCACAAAAACAATCCAGATGAATCCTAGTCCAGCAGTAGCAAAATGCTTAGGAACCTGGATTCATTGGGCATCTGATGCCTGGAAAAAATCTGCAGACACCAAAACAGTAAAATTCACGCTAGCTCCATATGTGCCTAACTCCCACCAAGGTTCTATTGAGATGCAGAGCAGTGATGAGAGACACTTTAAACTCTGCCCAAGTCCTCGATTCTTTAGGAAGCCAGAGAGCCTATGCAGCATCTCTGACACCGGCAGCCTGCATACAGTTCATTACAAAATACTGTCATTATAAGGGTCGTGGTACTACCACTCACTCGTGCCCAACGGCCTCACTGTTAGAGACATAACTAGGAAATGGGAGATCTGGTTTCTAGCCCCTCCTCAATCTGCATCTTCCTCTTCCCAGGAAAGTGCCCTAAACAGCAAGGTATTGAGTAGCCTAGTTAGGGTCCTCCCCACCTCTCCTGCTGAAGTGAGGCCACTGGGCAGCCAACAGAATAAGAGTCGTGGGGCCTGAAGTAATATAAGGAAAAGAGTCATTGGTTAAAAATCAGGAACCCAGTCCCTGGCAGCAGGGACTGGAACACAGACTTCCTGGAAAGTGCTCTCTTCACAGCCCTCTCTTGCTTGTTCTCCTTCTAACTTTTGCACTTTTGTTGCCACTGAGGAGCTAGGGCTGTCTCATGGAAGTGAGGGATGTGAGTTTGAGTCCTCTCAGGATGAGGAGAGTCTCAAATCCAGATCTCCCATTTCCTACATAACCATTATGCTCAGTGGCAAAAGGTGGACATCACCAGCAGTCATGCTCAAGAGTGAACAGGGTGTGCTTTATGCTGAATTCAATGCTGCTATAAGGGTGAGTTAACCATCCTTGTTCAGAAATGTGTCTCCGCTCTGTGTTCTGGATTTCAAGATGACAGAGACACTCTATGTGTAGCCCTGTAGCTACACCTATGCTCTAGAGAACTACGAGAGGTAGGCCCTTATGCTTAGTATTTCCTACTGGCTAGCTGCACACCATTCCCTGTTCAGCTCCTAGATGCTCCTTAATCTTCCCATTTATTGTGCTGGTATCCAAGATGTCCAACTCTTTTAGGTTGAATCACTCATCTTTGGCAAAACACCTAAGCTTTAGACACTGCAATCGCTAAGCAAAAGCCCCTACAAGGCTGATTTTGGTCTGGTGCTAAAAACTGATAATGTCCTTAGTCCAGAAGTTCAGTGCACATAAAGTGCTTTCAAAATGGCTGAAACTGGTTTAAGATAAACCTGGATGGATGTGGTATCAGACTTAACTGATTTAGGTTAAATCAGTTTACTGAAGTTCCATCCCAGATCCGTTCCAGAGTCAAGTTAACTCACAGACCCCCAGCATCCCAGGATGCTTTGCACCTCCCCGTAAACCCTGCCTCACACAGTGAGTGGGCTAGCCTTGGTCCAAGCTGTCTGGACCAGTCAACCAGGGAGGCATGCTCTAGTGCCCCCCAGCTTCTGGCCTGGGGAACTGCGGGCATATGGCTGCATTTTCAGAATCAAATGTGAATGTCTGTTCACTTGCTTATCAATTCAATCCACGCCGCTTAGACTACCCTGTGAAGATAGAATCAATTAAGCCTCAGGCTTTTTGTCTATCTTATGTCAAGAGAGATGTGTCCACACCAGGAGTTTTGCCAGTATAGCTCCATCAGCTAAGGGAGCAAACCTTGCAGTATAAACCTGGTCTAGCTGCTGTTGGTTATGATGTCTTTATAGTAACTTTGTGATACCAGCACAATACAAAGAAGTCTTATGCATCTAAAAGAGTATCTAGGGCATTGTGTCTGTGTACAGGGGCTCAGCTGCCATTTGGTGTAGATCTTGGTATAACCAAATTTCAAATGATATGCAGTTACTTTATTTCATATGATTATTTATTTATATAGGCCTAACTGAACTCTCAGTCCTTCTGAATAGTTGCATGCAATTTCTAACACCTTTAAACCATTTTCCCAATCAACAACAACACAAAATGTATTAAAAGTCAGTTTTGTCTGCAATTCTTTTAAATTTATAAAGAAAAAAAATCAGCTTCTGAAGTAATTTTCCTGCAATAAACATACTATTATAAGGGCATGACAGCTCCGATACAGGCATAAAGAATATGTCAATTAAGCTTTCTATAGTCTTTACTGAGCATATTTTTTCTACCCAGCTTTTCACAGAAAGTCAGAATACTGAGTTACCTTTAGACTTGAATGTAAGGATGACCTAAATATTGAGGTTCTTGTATGACTTGAACTCACTCAAGCAGTAATAATAGATTTGTTGCTAAAGAAATTATCTTATTACACTCTTAGTATTAATTGAAATGCAAACACATTTGATTACCATACTGACAGTTAGTTTTCTATTAAGTGATTGAGGATCTGTTACCAGAAGTGCTAATTCACAAGGGTTATTTTTAAAATTTGTGGAAAGAGCCAGGAACACTAGACAGATGCTTTTACAAAAACTCTATGATTCTAAATAAAGTTAGATTATTATATGAATCTAGATAAGATACATAAAAGTATAAAAGATTAAGTTTGATCTGATTATGCCTAAATGCAAATTTTATACTCTCTTACAATTCCCAGTGTTTACCAAAGGAAACTCCACCAGCCAATTAATTAAATCTACAAACCACTTTTGGTCCACCCACCCTTGCACTTTTTTCAACTTAAAGTAGCAATAGCAACTTTGCCATTGGGCATTTACTGGGGAATTATTTAATATGGGGCAGAGCTACCCAGCACATCCACAGGTGGTGGATAGTGGAAAAACCTTCATTGAAGGTTAGCTATAAAATAAGCAGGGGTAACTCTGACGAATAAGCAGTCACGGCCCAAGCAGTGGCAGCACCATCAGGCTGTGGTGGGGACAGCAGATGGCAATTCTTTCCCTCCTGAAAATCCTTTGAGGGTGCTGTGACATGACAAGTACAGGTCACCACTAGAATAAGCCTGCCCAGCCCCTAGCCATGAGTCTACAAGTCCTCAATGGCTGCGCAGGTGCATGAAGGCTGCAGCAGAACGAGATCCCCTGTTGTCTTAGTCTCCTTGTCATTGGATCAAGGTCCTGTTCTGGCAAGAGCCATGTGGAAGCAGACGTACAGCAGCTTCTCCATGATAAAATAAGTCACGCACAGGCACCTTCCATGAAAACAACTTTTCCAGCACATTCCTCAAGCCCTTTGGTGACCAGCTAATGGCAATGGGAGCAGAATTCTAAGGTCTGGAATCTCCTAGTCATGAACAGGTATGAAGGCAGTGGTTATAAAAGAGTCTGTCGATCCCAGATAGGCCTCATCAGCTACCTTTGGACACACAAATATGACAGTCATGGAAGACAATCATCCTCGAATATGAAGGATTGCTAAAGAAGATTTACTGGTAATCCTCAAGGTACAACCAGGTAACATCACCTCCCACTGAGTAACTAATTCTGAAGAAATGCCCTGTGTTTTAACCATTATTGCATAAACCACTTATTTTACACTGAATACCCACCTATAGTTTACCCAAGACACTAAACTATTAGACATGATAGTGAAGTCTAGTATCTTATTACATGATAGTGAAGAACTGTATCTTATTATTTAATTCGATTTATAAGACTCACTAATGGACTTTGTCTAGACTGGCCTGTAACTGAAATCACGCCATTCACAGTCCTAAAATGTATTTCATATTGAATATTTTTGTTTTTATTTTGTTTATTTAACCTAAGCAGATAAAATTTTATGAGGAAAGGTTAAACAACATAAAACTGAATAGCTTAGGTAATCATTGAAAGGGAATATAACAGTATATGATAAAGGCAAATTATCAACAAGGACGGAGAATAATGGTTTAATTTGATATTGGGATAACTAAGACCAGTGGGCTGAAATTAAGAAAGTGAAATCATAGGTTACATATAAGGAAAATCTTCCTCACGTCAAGTTCAACTGGATTGTGGAGACTACTTGTTGGTGGCTGAAGCCCCATACCTCAAGGTATTTGAATTCAGACTGGACAAAATACTAGATGAAATGTATGATAGATGAACATTTGACAATGTTATGGAGATGTTCTGGAGGACCTACCAGGCATCTCCATATCTCCTATGAAACTATCTACTATGAAACTATTACAATAGTATACTGTAGGTGGGTCTACACGTACGCCTAACTGCACAGTTGTTACTGCCAGTACCGCTGGTACTGCACAGTCCTGGTGCCGCACAGGTCATTTCCAACCCTACTGCACAGTAGCAGTGGCATCACGGTTTGTGCCCACCAATGCTATGTCGGTGTTGCTATGAGCTAAGTCACCATAGCTCATCGCTATGGAGACACAGCATCTCATATAGACACATCCTGTATATAGCAATGGAACAAAGTAAGACAAGAAGCTTTGAATCTCAATAGCAACCAGTTATGAAGTTAGTACACGTTTTTGGGGACTAACTTTATAGCTGGTTGGAGCTTTTTATGGCATAATAGCTTCTTTGCATGCGTAGCTGGTCTCAGGGTAATTATGCTACTAACTCATTAATTTCACAATAACTATAACATGTAGCTGGGGCCATAGTTTTTTTAAACATATTAAGTGCATTAAGTCAGGAAATTAAGCTATTAAACACACTGAAAAAAAGACTGACAGCAGTTAGGTATTCTTACCTCATGTATTTCATTCATCCAGTTTGTAATACTTTGAAAGCTGTCTGAATTTGTGATATCATAGACAAGAACAAACCCTTGTGCCCCACGGAAATAACTAGTACTAAGCGTGTGGAATCGTTCTTGACCAGCAGTATCCCTGCAATACACCATAAGAGATCACTTGGTATTGCATGCCCTGCAAGAACATGGAAATGGTTTTGTAGTGCCACATTAATAAAATCTTTATATGCTCTATTCTGCTATTCTGTAGAGACAGGGAAAGGACAGCAAGCTATGTAAATATTTTTGACTGTTCTAGAGCCTACACTTATATAACTGAAAAAGGCAGAAAATAGTCAAAGTCCTTGTCTACATGGAGGTTTAACCACTGCATGGTTAAATCATGTAACTGCACTGGTATACCCCTTACTGTAATATGTCTGCGTTGCTTTATACCAGTACTATGACTTGCTTTAGAGTGAATAAGCATTATGCACTGAAGAAACGCACTGGTGTAGGACCTTTAGACTGGAGGTTCACCAGTAAAGCTATATTGGGGTGGCTATACCAAGAGCTAAAATCCTACACTGGTCCCTTTAGATGGGGGAGAGGAAAGTGGTATAAAGATCTCTAAACACGAGATATGATATGACTTGAGATATGATATGACTTGGCTGAGGGAAGATTCTTCCAGCATAGGAACCTCAAAAGGTAGATGCCAGCTTGACTTCTGTAAACTCTAACATAGGGAGTGAATTAAAAGCACAGCTAATATGGGAGGTGTATGCCAGGGTGGGATACCATCCACACCATGCAGCAACGCAGGGATTTCAGAGAACACTGCAGGCCACATAGCTTTCTGGGAAACTGCCACAAAACTTAAGCAGGTCCCCAGGGCTGTCTTAATTAGCCCTGAAGATCTAGCTGCTGGAGATCTAGGGTTGTCAAACCATCAACTCAGTTAAAGAATTATCCCTTGAAAAATAATTCTAACCATGGCAAATATTCACACACCTCAGTTCAAATAGCTGGGCTCCAGCATTCCTGCAGCAACCTTACTTAAAAATAAGGTAGGGATGCTCAAAGATTCATCATGCTAGACCTCCCTCAAAATTCTGATGAGCGTGCATGTCTGAAGTTATGAAACAATTTGCATTGTTTCTTACCTTTAAAATTGTAGTAAAGTTGCTTATATTTAATATGTAGTAGAGGTCTGCATTTTATTTGTATGCCACAACAGTGAAACCTTAATGCTAAATGGTTTTAGAGATAACTGCTTTTTTTAAGTGTCCACTAGTTGCTGTAAACAATATGCTCCCCTAGGCATAATTCACATTTTAAAATGCACTATGAAGTAATAATTAGACTATAGAAAGACATACAATTAAAACCAGATAAGATTGTGTGTGTTGTACTATAATTTAGCTGGCTTCCATTCGTGGGGAAAAAATTAAAACTTACCATATTTGAAGTTTCACTGTTGTATCATTGAATGTTATTGTTTTCACTTTAAAATCAATGCCTAAAAGAAAAAAGAAAATCTGTTACATTTCTTTCTTCTCTTTTTTTTTAACAATAGCTTTTGTTTTCGACTGTTATTAGGTAATAGTTATTTTGGAGATCTGAAGGGGAAGAGAAAAAGGAAAGACAACTACCAAAAAAAGAACAAACGCAACACGAAACAGAAGTGGCAAAACCAGAACTATTACAAGCAACTCTCTGACAGTCATAAGTACATTCTATTGAAAATAACTGTCAGACAGGTCAATGTTTTACACTCAGCTCCTTGTGCACTGTTAGTTTTGACAAACCTGCATTAGTAGGCAAATGATATGACAGCAGCTTGGTGGCTGATGCATAGAACAGTCACAGTATTTGAAACTACAGAGTGTTTGACTAAGTGATTCAGCTCCATAATAACAGTTCTGCAGGTTTGTATCGAGGTTTAGGACAGCATCCTGTTTCAGCTTATGCACCCATGTAGCAGTGGTCTATTGGCATAACTGCCATTTTTGATACTTGGGCACAGTTTGCAACCCTGCTTCCCTTGCAGTGTAGATACATAAGCATCCACACAGCTACTGAGTCTGCACAATAGGATGCATGCTAACCAGGCCAGTATGCAGCTCTATATGTGTTCTCTGGGCAAGTGTAAATCAAACTTCTACAGAACAAAAACTCATGATTAGAGTGTTGGATGTCAGAGGAGGAAATATAAGAGAGCCTTTTCCATCACAATGCACTAACCATCAGGCCATAGGTTAAGCATCCCAAAAGGAAAGCAGGAGAAGGGAATGGAAAATGCCTGTCACCAGATGGTGAGATCACTCTGCTGGGAAGTTGGAGAGATTCAGGTTCAAACCCCATCTAAGTGAGGGGTCTCTTGCATTTGCCTCCTGGGCAAGTGGTATAACTACTCAGCTACTGGGGCTAAACCATGAAAGGGAACCCCTCCTCCATCTGCAGGACCAAGATTTTAGGATTTACACTTAGGTACATGCATACTGAGTCACATACTTGCTCAGCCAAAGTGCAGCCTACTGAACCTACTCAAATACCACATGCACACGTGTCCACACTTCACAGGGAATAGGATCACAAATTATCAGTAAGTCCCCAGAATGGCAGTTATGTGACATTTGAGGTGTAAGGTGAAATTCTGACAAATAGAGAAATATCCAGAAGTAAACAAAAGAAGTTTGGGCCTTCATGCCCCCTACTCCTGCTGCCCTTTTGGCTGGGATGATCTAGCTGGGGTTGGTCCTGCTTTAAGCAGGGGGTTGGACTAGATGACTTCCTGAGGTACCTTCCAGCCCTCATTTTCTATGATTCTATAATTCTAAGTATTCAGGATTGCATCAATACGACTAGAAATGAATTAAGCTAGGACTACATTCAAGATTAAGTAAAGAACATTACCCCTATCCTGCCCCTCCATATAAACTTCATAGAATCATAGAATCACAGAAGTAGGGTCGGAAGGGACCTTGTAGATCTTCAAGTCCGACCCCCTGCCTGGGCAGGAGGGAAACTGGACTCAAGTGACCCCAGCCAGGTAGGCATCAAGTTGCTTCTTAAAGACCCCCAGGGTAGGAGCCAGCACCACTTCCCTTGGAAGTTGGTTCCAAATCCTAGCCGCCCTAACTGTGAAGTAGTTCCTACGGATGTCTAATCTAAACCTACTCTCCAACAACTTGTGGCCATTATTCCTTGTTATCCCAGGGGGGCGCTAGGGGAAACAAGGTCTCCCCCAAACCCTTCTGGTCCCCCATAGTGAGTTTATAGATGGTCACAAGGTCCCCCCTCAGCCTTCTCTTGTGAAGGCTGAACAGGTTCAGGTCCCGTAGCCTCTCACTGTAGGGTCTGCCCTGCTGTCCCCAGATCATGCGGGTGGCCCTCCTCTGGACC